CGTATTGGCCCTATATCGCGGACTATTGCCATCAGTACTACGCACCATTCCGGCCACGGCCACCCTGTTCGTTGTCTACGAGTATACCAAGAAGGCTCTCCATGGGGCGATGTGACTGTGACCTGTGACATTTGAGACTGGCGTGGGCGTGGGCGTGACCGCGGGCGGTTATCATTAAAAAAAAAAAAAAAAAACCAAAAAAAAAAAAAAAAACAAAAAAAAAAAAATTTACGCTCACGCTGCTGCCAGTGCTCCATTGCAAACGATTTCCGATTCTGTTGCCTTTGTTATTATTATTATTATTATCGCTATAATTACTAATATCATTAGTATGATATTGCTGAGCTCCATATCCATATGTGCTGCCCAGCTGCACTCGTCGCTGCGGTCATTCAGATATTGGCCGCCTGGCGGAGACGACGCTTTAAAAAGTCCTGCCGATCCGCGGCCGTTTCCAGTTCGCGCCACTCATGCCAATAGATCTGCAGACGGACACGGTACAAAGTAGTTGAAAATAGTTTAGCATTCGATATGTTGATGGGAAGCAACTGCCCTGACGCGTATATACGTACACAATTTTTTTGTATGACAATAAAAATGATTCAAGACAAGTCAAACGCTTGAAAATAAATTAAATAATTGAATTTAATGTATTCTACTGCAACTAGAAAAACAAGTATTATTATTTGCCTAACCCATCCAGTTGCCAATTTAAACCCTTTGTTTGGATCGATGTCGAATTTCGTTTGTTTCTTTGAATTTTGAAAACATTTTCCTACACATCTTTCCTATGGTAGTGCTACGATTCTGACGCAGTAAGTCTAAGTCTTGCCGATCCTACAAACTCAAAGCTGAACCAAAGCGCTTTTAAACAAATAAATATATGTACATGCATAAATGAAGTTTTGAGAGTTGGTCTGCATCAGGAACTGATGCACCGACCGATTTTTTGTGATTTGCATTTCGAGCATGAAAATGAAATAGATTCTGATAAAGCATTGTGTGCCACTTACCACGACAGGCTTGTGTCCCAGCTGCTGCAGTTGTCGCAGCTTCATGGCAAACTGTCCCGTGTAACGATCCTTTGCGCGTATGACATTATTCCAGCCGGCGACCGTAATGATCAGCGTGTCCATGTGTGTTGCTGCCCTGGCGCCGAGCAGATGCTGCCGCGTAAGCAGAACACCGCTGTAGTCCTCCGGACAGCTGGCATCTAGGGATACAGCGCATCGCTGTTGTCGATCGTAGCATACAATTAGATCGCAGCGATCGTAGTGGGGCAGTATATGCTTCAGACTGACTGTGGTGCGCAGCAGACTGCCCACAGCATCGCGAATCTCCAGGAGAATGCGATCTGTGCTGTTGAGCTTGTATTGGATTTTCGCTCGATCCGGTATATACTGTGTATACAATTTGCCCATCTGTTGACGTTGCCGCTCGGTGAGCCGTGGCCCTACGTAGCCAGAGCCCAGCAGCTGAGCAAAGCTGTCCAGATGGAAGTATTCGCGGCCGGGCAGGCCGCTTCGATAGGCATGGCGCAGGAAGCGCGGCTCGAGGGCAACGCTCAGCTGTTCGACATCGTAAATGCCGCGCATGCTGAGAAACTGCAGGCAGTTGGAGTAGCAGCGAGGATAGCGCACTATCTCATCGATGCGGCCGCGCAGCATGTCCGGCAAACGCTTCACCAGGCGCTGCTCGACGCCGCTGGCGGTGTTCAGATTGAACAGTGCTATGACCAGACAAATGCGCTCCAGATCCTTGAGTCGTGTTGCATCAAGTTCGCGCTCGAAGCGCAACAGAATGCGTTCGACAAGTTCATCATTGCAGGTCTGCAGTTCGCAGCCAAGCAGCGCCATGTGCAGGCAGGACATCAACGAGACGCGCTCCACCTGCGGCTGCAGCGCCACCAGAAGTTTACCCAGTGCTTCCACCTGCGGCAACTTGCTGCTGTAGCGCAACACCTTGAGCAGTGCGACCAGTGTAATGTCCTCGACGCTGTCCAGCTGCGCCTGCAGGCGCGTGTAGAGCTGCTGCAACAGCTCGGGATTGCGTATGGGCGTCTGTGTTTTGAAGAAGCCCATGGCCATGATGCCCAGCTCCTGAAGCGTCATTTGGTCTACGCACTGCGCCAGATTTTGTTCAAAGTCAAACATCTCGAACACCGGGCGACGCAGCAGGTTGCACAGAAACATGGACTGCACCAGCTGAGCTGGCGGCATTTTTCGTATCTTGCGACCAAGCTTGCGCAGAGCTTGCCACACAAATTCACCAATCCGCGCCAGACCCAACTGGTACCAGCCATCGCTGACCAGCAGCAATTGTGCGCTGGACCAGCGCTCGATGCGGCGACAACACTCAATGTCCAAGGTATTCCACAGCTCCATGTAATTGGCCACCTTCGTGGAAGCCGGCGTCGGCAGCTGTTGCAGGCCGCGCAGCACACCCAGCAGCTGCTCGTCGCTAAATTTATGTAGCTCGTCGCACAAGGCGCCTATGAAATCTGTAAAACGCTCCTCGCTGATCTGGGTGCCCGTGTGCGCGCAATGCTGTATCAGCGCCAGCAAATCTGCGTACAATTCATCCGGTTGCGCATTCCTTTTAGGCACAAGCACATGCTGGGGCGCGGCAAAATCAGCTGTACCTGTTTGTGGGCTATCACTGGAGCGTACAAGCTGATACGGTTTCAAGGATTCCGAGAGAATACTGTGTGCGTACTGATTCTCATAATCGACAAAAACTTTCGCGGGCAGCGCTGGCAAGGTGCGTATATGACGATGCAACAACAGGCGGGCCGGACTCCGTGCCATGACCAAGCCACGCAGCATGCATCTCGTTGTTGTTGATATCATTTCAGCTGCAGTTTAACTCATAAATTCAGTAGTTTAAATACTTCGGCGTTATGTCAGGACAGCAACCAAAACCAACGCGCAACGAAGACATCAGCTGTTATCGGAGTTGCCATACAATCAACCATGTGGCCTTAGGTGGCAATACTCTCATCTCTGATACCGATTTTATCGATATTTTCGCGATGCTTTTCGAACATTTCCTAATGTACTCATTAATTATCCTATTAAATTTGCAACTGTCATTAATTTGCTATAATCAATAATTAACGCTGTAACATTTATAATTATAACTTGAAACGTCAAACATAAAGTGTATTAATGGCTATCAACCTTAAATATGACGAAAGTCGACAGATATCTTAAAAAGATTTCCCCAATTGGAATACATTCAACTTACCAAGCTACCAGAAAATTAAGAAACATAATTTAATTGTTAATAATTGAACAAGTTAATTTCAGTATCTTAAGCCGTAAAAAGTTAGACGCACCAAATTGTAAAGATATTTTCTTTTGAAGCAAACTCACTATTGTTGCTTTTAATCCATTTTTTATTTTCTAAAACTATATATAAAAGTTTTTTAGTTCTTTGTTTTATTGACGTATACGTAATACGCCGTTATACATCATTTTAATAGCTGACCATGAATAATATTATTGTTATGAGTTCATGCTTTCCATGGAAACCGGTTTTTCTTTGATAATTTCTTGTTTGAATTTTTCTGTTCGACAAATAAGTACAAATGACGTATACGCCAGATAAGCCCAATTGTCGAATTCAGGCAATGTTAACATTTGTATATTCCAATTAGACAATTAATCTAAATCTAAACCATGAAGAAATAAACAAAAATTATGATGAAAGTAATAAAATACAAATTGATATAATTTATACAAATAAAAACTACTTGTAAATAATGAAAAATATTTTATAATATACATTTTCATTTGACATAAGCTTTAACGTATTTTATTCAAAATTGCGTAGAAATGTTAATGATGATGATGATGATGATGATTTGTGGGCAACTTTCTCAGTGCTCGTATTTTTCCATTTGCATAACAATTAAATGTTTTGTTTTGAAAAAAAATATTGAATGAAACTCAATATAATAAAAAATACTCTAGAAATGATTCCAATTCGGCTATGCAAAGGAATGCGTCCAATTAGAATGCACGTGCTTTCAAACCAGAAATGTCGCAGCCTCAAACGAGACCCCATTGATGCTTCTAAAGTTTCGATATCGAATTCGTAACCAAAGACACTTTCATCTTGAACTTTCGTTTAACAAAATGCATGGCAACAAATGCTGGCGGCTAGAAAAAATCATTTCAATAATAATGAAAACAAAAGTTTAAAAACAAACGAAGAAAAAATAAAAACAAAATAACGAACCAAAAAAAAAATCAACCGCTAGCTGCGCGCAAACGAGATCGTGGGCCAGAGGCAAAGCCAAAGACGCACGCATTTAAGATGTGAGTGGGGGGGGGGGGGGGGGGGGGGGGTATCAGATATTTGGTAGAGGCGGACGATTACGAAAATATGCTGCCCCAACTCCCCGCGCCGCTGTGCTCGAAACGACAGCGACAGTTTACAGTTGCTGCTCAATACCCTAACCTATTATGAAGTGCGCATTTGAGGGTTATGTTGGCATCGAAAGCACAGAAAGTTGAGCACAATTTGTCATAATATTTCTAATGTGCGCAAATGTCAAATTAATCATTTGCCTTGGCCAATTGTATTGCCAAAATCGAACGGGCAAACAAAAAGTGTTAAGACTTGATATTTTGATGTGGCATTTGCCACAATGCAGGGTAACACAAGGTCGACCCGCCGAAGTTTTTATCAATTTTCCCGTTTGAGCTGCGCAGTCGCCGATGCTATATAAATTTTGACAAAAGAAAGACTTCGGTTTAAACCAATTTTGGCAATGCGCGCGGCCATTAAGTGACAGCGCGAGATCAGAGCAGTAGCAGCACCAGAAATCGAGATCGAGCCAAGCAAACGACACCGACAGCTGATACCCAGGCGCAGTCGTGGATACCGTGATGCCACCGAAGGTGTTTCCAGCTTTGCGGCTGGCGCTGTTGCTGCCGGCGATGGCGGCGATGGCGTCGGCCTTTGGCAACGAATATGTGCACATCAAGGTGCATGTGCCCAAGGATCAGGCGCCGAGCATTGCCATCGATGCGGAGCAGCCGACGCAGCACAAGGTCATCCATCACTATCACCATCATGCGGCGCCGCATCTGAGATTGCGCGCACGCCCACCATCAAAGCCCAAGACCAGCCCGCTGCTGGAGAGCGTCATCTTGTCCGATCTTGACAAGCCGCTGCACATGAGCGAGCATGCGGACTATCTGAACCATGCAAAGGAGCTGGCCGAGCAGCTCAGCGAAACATATGTGATTAAGAAGCCGCCGCCGCCGCCGCCGCCGCCGCTGCCGCCAAAGAAGAAAGTGAACACCTACACGATCATCGAGGAGAAGCACCGGCCGCACAGTTACGAGTACGAGTCGCGGCCAGAGCACGGACACGTGGACACGTATCGGTTGCAGCATCATCATCACAAGCACCAGCATCATCAGTACGCCGAGGACGACACTGATGACGATGTGGGCTATCACTATCCCGGCCCAGTGCACCAGCATCGCCATAAAGGCTCCGCCACATTGTACCATGGCGGCGGCTATGCGGAGCCAGCGCCGGTGGAGGAGCCCATGGATTTGGATCTGGGCTATGGCTATTCGCCGCCCGCCTATGCACACGGCCGACCGCCTGCCCATACGCTGGAGGCGCCCGAAGAGTCATCTCTGGACAGCCCGCATCCATATGACTTTGGCAGCAGAAGCGCCACCAGCAGCAGCAGCACCAGCAGCAGCAGCTTCCGGCCATCCCAGCAGCTGAGCACACAGCCAGATGCCTACGAAGACGAGATTGATTCGTATGCCGCGCCGATCCAGTCCCGTCGTCGTCGTCCCGGCCCCGTCGACTGGCCCAGCCAACGCGGATATATTAGCGCTGCCGCCGAGGATAGCTATAATGCCGGACACGGCAGCGCCGGGTATCAGTATAGCGGGCCCTATCTGTAGTCGTAATACTTTATATCTTGCTTTAAGGTCTATTTATTGGATTTAGCTTTTTTTTTCCATAGTCTAAGTCGATTAAAACTGAAAGCTCCGCAAAATCAGAAAGTCTTTCTATACCCTGTACACGAAGTGTAAGGTGTATATTGATTTGTGCAGTTCGTGCTGGCAGGGAGCAGTTCACCAACCATGAGTTCCTCTAAGGATCAAAGCAATATTTATAGTCGGGTTGCACGCCTGCGACTCCTCACGTAGCCCCACACTCTCTCCTAGCATCGGTCTTCATTGTTGCCATTATTGCTGGAACATCATCGCAGTCTGATCTTTGAATTGGAATAACATAGATATGTGTGCCGATCCCTGTGTGCACCTTGATGTGCCTATACCATGTACTCTGCTAGGATTCGGGATCGGGTAACACGATAACTGTGTACTTCCCTCTTTAGAGGGAATTTTCACCCTTGCAGTGAAATCACCGCATTCTCGGTGGAAAATGAGGGGAATCTCTCGCTTTTTTTTTTAAAACTGATGCACAAAGCCTTTAGAAATACGCATCAATTTGAGCCAGATCGATTCTGTGTGGACTAACAGCCCGTCTCGCGCAAAGCCGGGTAATACGCGATAGAAACTATAAAAATACCTGTGCACATAAATAAACAATGCTGCAGTCGCATTCACTTTAGCGGAATCGATGCTCATCAACAAAGTGCAGTCAAGCACGAGGTCATTTTGCCCACACGTTCCGTGGAAGATGGACAACTGCGATAGGCGGCCGAGTTCTGTGGGTCGCCATTGAGCTCAGACAACGATGGGCTACCATATTGACAGGGTGCTGCGGCTTCATCTGCGCTTCTATCAGCTGCTCGGTCTGCACGGGCTGCCTCTGCCGGGCGATGCGCATCCAAGCCGTAAGGCTTGGCTATTGCAATTTTGGGCCGGCTGCCTGCTGACAGGATTTAGTACAATTGCATTTGTGTGCCTGACCAGCGACGATGACTATCTCTACCACGATGACGCCTTTAGCTGTTTCAATGATGGCATGAAATACGGATTTGCCGAAATGGCCGTACTCAGTATCTACGGCGAGACACTGCCCGGACAACGATACCATCTGGCGCGCTTCTGGCAACTGTATGGTGCACGAACGCCGCCAGCTGGCACGCTGCGACAGCAACTGGTGCAGCATCGACGCTACCTGATCCAGTTGTATGGCCTAGTATTTTTGGAGCTGGTGCTGTTGTGCCTGTTCGTTTCCGTACAGGATATTTCGCATCATATTCTGCTCTTTTGGAGCACCTTTCAGCCGTTTGTGTTTCTGGTGCATTTGCGCAACACGCAATTTTTGCTGCACCTGGAGCTGTTGCGGCAACAGCTGGTGCAATTGGAATGCGAGCTGGGGCTGCTCGTTGAGTACTCGAGCTTTGCCAGCGTTGCAGCCAGTTTTGCTGGATTCGAAGACTACCTAAGGCGGCGTGTGCGCGAGAAGCAGCTTATGTACGAGCGCATCTACGAGCTGTGCATCAGCTTTAGCAGAGCCTTCAGCTATTCCGTGCTGACCGTGCTGCTCATGATCTATATACGCATCACAGTCGATTGTTATTTCCTGTACTACACCATCTACATGAGCATCGACAATATTGGTAAGTTGTTCAACTCTCTCCCTCTCTGTGTCGCTCGGTCTATCCCTTGCTCTGTCTTATTCGCGCATACTTGAGGCTTCACAGACTATTATATGCTGATGCCCGCCGTCATGCAGATACCCGCCTTCCTCTACGCCTCACAGAGCTGCATGCAAATGGTGCCCCGGATCGCCTACCAGCTGCATAATATTTTGACCACCTCCTCAGCACTTTCTCTTCAGGTGCGCAACCCGTCCTGGTATTGAAGCTTGCATCTCAATTGTGTCATTTGCTCTAACAGATCCAAAACTTTTCGCTACAAATTCTACACGAACCGGTGCGCATTGATTGTCTGGGCATAATTGTATTGGACAATCATCTGCTGACACGGGTAAGTGGAACACCAGCAGAAGCTAGCTAGCTAGTATAACTAATCTCAACCACTTAAGATTGCGTGCGCCGTTTGCACTTATATCATCTTTACCGTACAACTGATGCCCAAGTTGAGTGGATCCTCAATATAGAGTAGGGTGATTAAAGGATTACAGGAGTTGAGTCCAATGTACGTTATATTAAAGCTTTATCTATGTATCGTATAATCAATAAAATTATTTCATTAATGCCTTAAAACGAGTCGGTTAAGCATCGATCTGATTGTTGGCTATGTGGGGGAGTGTGGGATTGCGCGAAGCAACGTTTTTTTTTTTTTTTTTTTATTTACACGTGCGTTTAGGTTGGACGGGATCTTCTTTCTCTTTTTTAAATCGAGGAGCGGGGCGGACTACTAACTAAACATCATTCAACCCATCCCAACCAAATACCCGTTTTGCAACAGCTGGCGGGAGTCGGAATTCGTCTTGCTTACAGTACGATTGCAGTTAAGTGCGTATCTTATACATATATGTATATATAAATACCAATATATCATATATATATATATATAAATCCTAATCATATATATGCATGTATGTGTATGTGTATATCTGTGTAGCGCTACTAAGCGATCTAATCGTATTCATGACTTGATTCCCGTTTCGCAATCAAATTCTCGCGCTCATCATCGTTGCCCTCGATAATGGTGATGGTATTGGAATGGGCCGAGCGATTTAGCGGCTTAACGCGATGCACCGACGCGGTGAGGCCAGATTCGGTGACAACCTCCACCTCGTCGTCTTCATCGTCATCGGGCACTGTGAAGTATGGATGCGATGAGACTGGGCGGAACTTGTAGCCCGTGAGCACAAAGAACACGTATGTGGCCATTTCGCGGAACATCTCGTCCAGCCAGGCATATTGAAAGACGACCGTCATCTGTAGTAAGTCCACAATGATGCGCGTAAAGTAAATGTAGCAGACGATCATAATATAAAACTGGCGGAAAAGCTTCAGCTTGCGAAGATTAATTGCCGCCTTTCCATCTGTCGCGGACGCCTCGTGCAGATGGCGTATGGACCAGACAATTGGAAACAATATAGCGCCACAGCATAGCAGATCCACAAAGAAGAATATGTTATGCCAGGTGCGGAACTCGGCATCGCTTTGATCCGATTCATCCGTTATTATTTGCGCCACATTAGCCAGAACCTAAGCACAGATTAAAAACATTATATAAATCGAATGCATTCAGAGCGCAACACAATTGCTTGCCAACCTGCAGCGGAATGACAATCATGAAGATCTTCTTGTCCTTGTCCGAGAGTATATGCTTGATAAATGTCCAGCCGGTGCCAATGAGCACAATAGTTATGAAAAGCACGGCACCCTTCAGTAGATGTGCTATGTAGTAGAGTATCGCCCAGGTTTCCACATGCTCGCCACGTTTCTCAATGAAATGATAATTGATCGAATGGAACATAAGAGACAGCGACTTTAGGAAAACGAGTACGGCCATAAGGTAATGTATCTTGTAGACCGTATGCCTGTAAAACAATTTAACAGTATTAATACTATGAAGTCTGTTTGTCCAATGCGCACCCACTTGCTCTTCTTCAGGATGAACACCCAGAATAATCCGGACAAAAAGAATAGCAGACTCATCATAAAGTATAAGGCCGGCAACGGCATTTCACCCGCCGACAAGTAGTTGCCATTGTTGTTTTCCTCAATGTCCACCTAAAAGAAATTAGTTATTCATTTTGAATGGGCCTGTCAGAAACTGAACTTACATTGAAAGACAGCATCTTGGGATTAACATAGTTGGGACAGGCGTGAAAGTATAAATTGTACAATCCCTCATCGTGCTGCGTGGCCACAAACATTGAAAACGTAAAGCTGTAGTAGTTGGTGCCCTCGACGGTTTGCTTGATGAGCGGCAGCGTGAAATTTTTGCACAGCTCTTCCTGCGATTGCCTGAAGGAGTTGACTTCATAAAAGTTAGACCCAGAGCCCCGAGAACTGTCCACCGGAAGCGCTGGTTCCAGTTCGGCATCATCGAGCTTCTTGTTGTTGTTGCTGCTGCTAGACGGGGCAGATGATGCGGCAACAACTGCAGCAGCGTCGCCAATAGCTTTGGCACCGGCCTCAACTTCTGCTTCGTTGCTGACGCTGAGCACACCACTCGCCTTGGCGGCATCAAGGCCAGCTGGTGGAGCTGCTACAACTGATGGAGCACTTGCATTGTCCACTTTTGGTTGTACAGGTACCTGTTTGGATTCCTCAAGCACTGCAGACTCTTTCGGCTCCATTACGGCAGGTTCTACCTTTGGCGCTGCGCTTATTTTGCCAGGCACAATGGGCGACGACAACTTCGCCTGTTCGCCATTCAGCTTAGCTTCAGCTGCATCCAGCTCTGGTTGCATAGGTTCCTCAACCGAATGATCATCCATGTCGAGTACTTCGTCCGAATCAACGGGCATCAAATCGCGACGGCGGCGCTGCTGCATAAACAGCGCCGTGTCGCTGACCTTTGCGACATGCGAGTTGCGCTTACGACGATACATAACATCCTTGTAGATATGCTTGTTTGCCCATTCCGGTGAGCATTGTACACGTACTCTGGCGAAAAAAGAAACAGCTATTAATAGGCGCCCACTCAACAGTCGCTGGGTAGCAGCTTACTTTAGCTCCTTCAGATCCAGCACAAAAAACAGAATTGGTCCACTTTTTTGGTTGGACGGCGGCTCCTCTAGTATGCACTTATTTTGATGCGAGTCCAAGTACGGATTAAGCTGATCAATGGTCGTCTTGTCCAACGACAGCCCAAACTGCAATCACCAACATAACATATAAATACTTATTACCATCATGCGAAAAGCAAGCAATTCCATTATGCCCACCAAATCGGTCGACTGCTCATCGTCAACAGTTAGCTGACTCAGCTGCACGTCCAAATGTCCGTTTGTGTAGAAGCCAAAGGTACTCAGCGCAATATACGGGCGCATATCATTCTGGAAGAACACAAAGCCATCTCTATATATACAATAACTGCACATAAGAGTATGTGTGCATGTGCACATGCATAGGGTGGCCCGCAAAGGGATCGGAATCATCTGATGCGATGCCGGCTGCAATTACTTACGCGAACTTCCAGGTGATGTTTGCGCGAGTAAACGGCATTTGGTGCAATGAGCAGTGCTGCGATTATTGTAACAAATATTGATTTAATATTTAATATGTGCGCTGGCGTTGGCGCACGCATTTTTCTTGCTCTTGTTTATTTCGCCTGTGCCCCTGTCGAATGTGTGGCACTTTTTTTAGCATGTATCGAAATCGATATGGATATGTCAACGCAGTTGGAAACTAATGTGACTACGATTTTAATTAATTAAAGTTCGATTTGCTGCGCTTGCGTTGCTGTTGCTGTTGCTGTTGCAAATACAATTATTCACACCTAAACGATATTTTTGCTTCGTGTTTGTCGTCTTGTTGCACGCAATAAAATTTCTAGTTAGTACATTTAGTGCTGCTAGCGATGGGTACAAAATAGATATCGATTAATCGATTTTACTTTTGGAGGGCCATTTTGTCCAAATTCAAATTTGAATTTATCCAATACGATGTATCGTTTATTAATTGTAGAAATTTTCTCAAAGTAAACCTAACATTTCAAATTCAAATGAAAATTTTCAACGGAATACACGATTATGAAATTGTAGGTCTTGCAAGAGTTGTTCATATGAGAAGCCTTTAGTAATCATAATTAATCAGAATCAAGCAAAAATGGCAAATCCAATTAGACAAACAGGTAGAAGACGGGCCTGAAAAGGTGTGTAATTAGCCGCAAGCACTTCATACATATCTAGCCCACAAATAAGAACTGTTCATATTGAAGTATAATGCATAGATGTATTTAATTTGTGTTTAATTTAAAAAGGCTACGCGAAAGAGACAACACACATAAAAGCGTAATAATTGCGATAATTCAGTTAAATATATGTTTGTTACTTTATTCCATATAACCAATGTGGGGCTCCGTTGAGGTTGTGGCAAGCTCACGGCGCGAGTGCAGGCCATGCTCACGGATTCGCGGCTTGAACTCGCCAACACCCAGCGTTATGGTTCCTGGTGGCTTCTTGCCACGAAATGTGGCTGCCTCAAATGAGGGCGGGGGCGTCAGTTTAGACGACTTTTTCGATTTGACGGCCTTATCCGCAGCATTGCCCTTGGCATCGAGCCAGGCCAGTTTGGTGGACGTATCATTGACTTCCAGCGGCTTGACCTGCGTTACCAATGCCATGGAATTTTGCTTCCTCTGATAGTACATCACCTCAAAGGCCAGCGTGATCATGGCCAGAATGAGGCCAAGCAGTGTGGCTATGAATACGCCGCCCAAGCTCTCCAGGGTAATGCCCTCCTGATCCTCGGAAAGGGGACAGTTGCGTACATTAGATAGATTCCAGTATTTCGCCTTGAGCTGCTCAAAGAAACGATCCTTCTGTAGCTCCAAAATCGCATAGCTTAGCTCATCCTGCCACCAAATGCAGAAACAAAAGTATTATCAACAACAACATTAAAAACAAAACAAAAAATTGAAAGCAAAAACAATCATACGCACCCCCAAATGGCTACCCTGTTGCACGGCAACGGCATAGGGTTGCTCGGCGAATACTTCGCCCACCTCCGTTAGATTGCAGTTCCTGGTCACCTCGTACTTGATTTCCGCGGAGTCGTGTATGAACGCATAGTCCGCATTTCCATGCGCATCCACTTTTTCAAAACCTTCGGTCGCATTCTGGACTGGCTTCGAGCTATTGATGGCCAGGAGTATGTGCCCAAACTGTTCCTTAATGGGATAGTCCCAGATGCGGAACTTGCGAAAGTCACGAGATGCATTCAGTGCCAGCTCTTTCCACAGCCGATATAGCGTATCTTCGGCGAATTTCATGTTCATGAAATAGTGATGCGTGTCCGAATCCTTGACGACAGTGTAATTAATGCGTGATTGTCGCGCCAGCTGCTCCAGCGACTGCACCGGCGTCTGCATGCGCTCGACCGTAAGAAACGCAGCCAAGTTTGCCGTAAACGTGGCCAGCATGAGCACCACAAATAGCCAGTAGGCGGCAACCAGCAGGCGTCCGGATATCGCCTTGGGCGCCTCGCCGCCACCTTGCGGCGTGAACGAGGTCAGGGCAAACCAGAAGCTTTCGCGTAGCGTAAACTCCCGACACTCGTACGGATAGGCATCGCGATTGTTGCGCGAACTGTACGGCGAATACTTGTCCATGAACCAGATCATCAGTGCCGTGCCCACCAGGGCGGCCACAATGCTTAGCCATACCTCCAGGCGCAGCACCGTCATGAACTTGAAGAGCGAGGTGCGTCGCATCGGCTTGCGCATAACTATCGAGATGCCAGTCTGCTCGTAGTAGGGCGGCAAGAAGTCAACCACTTCCTCGCGCTCCGAGTACATCTTGAGTGCAGCGATGGCAAAGTCTGTCTCGCCGCTGACCAGGTCACCAATGACGCCATCCCATTCGCCCAGCTCGTTGCGCTCGCCCATGTGTCCCTGCTTGGGCGCCACAATTTCGTAGCCAAAGTTTAGCTTCTCTGCCAGCCGTTCCATAAAATCGATGCAATAGCCCTCCCAGATGGGATCACCGTTTCTGGTACGCAGCAGTTCGCCGGTGTCCGGATTGCGGCGATAATAGCTCCAGGGCAGGCTCTCGGCGGTGCCAATACGAAAGAAGCGCCGACTTGGGCTAATTGTCTCGTTGAGCAGTCGCAGCTCGCCAGCTCCCCAAACGGCCAGGTCCGTCTTGGCCTCATGTTCGCTGGAATAGTAGCCAATCGAAATATTCGCCACAAAGCTCAAATTGGGCACGGGCTCCTCTTCGGCCAACGGTGCCAGCGTCTCGCTGCTCGGCACATAGCCCACAAAATTGCTCCAGTGCACATTCTCCAACCAAAGGCTGTTGGCGGCCTCAGCACTGTTTGCCTCGGCGCTGGCATTGCAATCCAGGTAAACTGGCTGCGGAAACGATTCGCTGATCTGCGCTGCATAGCTGAGACTGCGCAGCACATCCAGCAACAGGCCGCGGTGTAGCTGAAAAGATTTCTCAGCTTTACACAAGATCCAATATATAATAAGGATAATGTAACAGTGTAACTGGCAGAAGGCGGCATCTCTGATCGCTCGCCTAGCTGCTGCGTCCGTCTCGGGAACATTAACAGCTGCCCTTGGAGTCAAGGGTTGTTAAGACAGCTTTGCTATTACAGACACAGTTCGGTTGACCCAGTCAGAGCTCGGGCTTACCGTAAAACCGCTTCCGCAGTAAAGATCTCGCATCTGCATGGAACGGCAAATGGCGCGTGCGTTCAGTGTAAATCGTGTCGCAAGCTCCACCTGTCGCCTGTACTTAAAAACGCGATCTCTGGTGTCCAGAAAGATAAAGTGCCATTCGGTGGGTCGTTTGAATAGTTTGCCCAGATCCACCTGCAACGATACACAGCAAACTGTGAGGCAACTGGAAATGGTGCTCGGCTACTCGGCTACTTACGCGCTCGAAGAGACCGTTCATGGCGGCGCCACGGGCGAACATTGCATAATAGGTGGGCGGAGGACGCAACGAAGTGATGCGCGTGACAAAATCCTCGGACTGCGTATCGCTGGCATCCAGGATGAGAGCGCGAAAGGGATAGCCAGCCATTAGCTGTTTCATGGCCTCCATTGTGTCGCGAGCATTTTGAAAGATCATGGCCACATTGTTTGCACGCTTCTGACGCATAAAATCGCCAAACATGTCCAGAAAGGGACGCATGACACGCTCCAGACGCACATACGCAATGCCATGCATGCGCGCCAGCTCGTAGCCCTCTGACCAGCGGCTATAGCTAAGATCCACGATCACGGAGCTGCCCATGCTGCTCAGAATCTCACAAACTGTGCGGGGCCTCACAAGATAGTATTTGGCTAGTTTTTGGCAAATGCCGTCTACTTACATCTGTCCATGTCCTGCTGCCCGTCGTTGCGCGTCAGCTGCACCACCGTATCGATAATGGTCACATCCAGCTGCAGTGCATCCAGTTCCTTTAGCACAATCGCAATGTCCGCTTCAAACTCTGATCGCTGCACTGGCTCAATCCAAAAGGCTGGCAATCGATGAAAGCGCCGTTAATTGCATTGAATTCCGCACGATCTACCAACTGGCAAGCACACTTACTTATCCTAAGCTCCCCAGCGCTGGCCAGGCTTTGGTTTAGGCCTATGCCAATGCCCAGGCACAGAGCCCAGAGCCCAAAAATGTCCAACCTAACCATACTGGCCATCAGCTGCAAGTGCTCAGACTGCGTCATTGTCCATGCCAATTGACATGTCCACGTTCCACTTTCCATGTCCCTCATATAATTGCGCTTAATTTGTGCCCAGCGATTGGACGTCCGTCAAGGCATTATGCATTTTAAAGCAGCTCCTAGTCGATTCGAAAATCGCATTAAATTTGAATACTGTCACCGATGGATGGACCCCACCAGCACCTGCTCACGGGGCGTATTATGCAAGTCACAAATTGTAATTCGCAGCCGACTTGCCAATACCCTGTATCTATGGCATATTACACGATCCCGAGTTTTTCTAATTCTTCAGTTTTGTGGACAGCTGGAAAAGTAATACCTATATACTTGATCAAGCCAACTCTTCAAAGGTCTACAATCGAAAGCTACCTAAGGTCGAACTAGCAAGCGCGCAGTCGCCGGCTCAACTCATGCATAAATTATTACATTGTTGGCAAAAAAGACAGCAAAATTGTATATTTATATTTAAAAAAAAAAACAGAAGAAGTTTTTAATGCATCGAAACGTAAGCATTTGCTGCTGTGCAATTTGTGTGTGGGAAAGGCAACATGTGCAATTGGAGCAGTAATCATTTTCCTAGCTAACGATCGACCCGTTGAATAAGAATTAAATATATTATGCGAGTATTTAAATATATTATGAGTTCTTTAGTATTGGGCTTCGTGGAGGTAGCCTTGCTTTAAATATTGCCCATGCAATTTGGCCCATAAATACTTGTTGTCGTATAAAGTCCTATTCCGGATCAAATGGTATCCGATCCGAAATTTCAATATCGAAAGTCTCTAACATAAAAACAATCAATCGATGTTGCTGAAGCGCCAACTCCACATTTTTTCCGATTTTGCGCAAACAACACACTGCTCAACAAATTTCCGATTCCCAACTAATGGCTTTGGCAGTTAGTTGATCACCTGTCCAGGTGCCAGTTTTAAATATATGTATTACTATTTAAACTATACAGCATTCAGTTTTCTGGCTGGAATTAAGGATGTGAAGCCATAAAAACATAGCAAACGGGGCTTGGTTTTCAATATACAAATACACGATCTTCAAATATGTATTAAATGCATTATTTATAGAATGTCTCGCTTTGATGAATCTGTAAATATATATTCGCCCGATGGGCATTTGTTGCAAGTGGAATACGCTCAAGAGGCGGTGCGCAAAGGTTCCACAGTGGTAAGTGCACAATTTTGCAGCATATATTCCATATTCTAGACCAGTATCAGCCGAGTCGATATGGCCAGCAATATGCCGGCAAGGGTATTTCATATTCTTGGCTCTGTGTTTCTTTTTTTTTCGGTCAGGTGGGACTTCGCACCAAGGAATGCGTTGTGCTGGGCGTGGAGAAGAGAGCCATTGATTCCCTACAGATCGAGCGTACGTCGCGTAAGATTAAGAAAATAGATCAACATATGGCAATGACATTTGCGGGTCTTACGGCCGATGCTCGCGTATTGGTGAGTCGCGCCCAGGTCGAGGCCCAGAGCCACCGCTTGAACTTTGATCGGCCCGCATCTGTGGAGTATATAACACGGTGGGTGCTTCACCAAGCTGAGTCACGGCTGCTCCTCACAACTTACGCATTCACAGATATCTGGCCAGACTGAAACAGACGTATACGCAGAGTGTGGCACGACGTCCGTTTGGCGTCTCCTGTCTGATAGGCGGCTTCGATGAAGATGGCAGGCCGCGTCTATTCCAGACCGATCCCTCGGGCATCTACTACGAATGGTCGGCCAATACGACGGGCCGCCTCGGGCAAACGGTGAACGAGTACCTGGAGAAGAACACAGCTGCCATTTCCAGGGCCCCAGACGCGGCCTCGGCCATGAAGCATGTGGTGCGTGCCTTGTTCACGGCCACATCGCTAGATGCCAGCTTCTATGAACTGGCTGTGCTCAGATACCGGCAGCCAATCGAGATGGTCAAACCGGAAACGTTGGAATATCTGCTGGGAGTCATTAAGCAGGAGGCCGTGGAGGAAGCGCTTAAGCAAAGGCGCCGTAACGCGCTTTGATGTCCATAGAATTTCGTTAATATATATTTCGTCTGGCTAACCGGGTACACTTGCATACCGATTGTTTTTTGTGTTACAAATTTTGGATATTAAAATTTCGAATATATTTGTGTATAGCCACGTGCTTATCATCTAAAACGTGTATATCCCCTAGAGTTACCAAATGTGCCAGCTTGATTTCTCATTATCTAAAAGATCCCATATATATAGATCCTACACATACAGATACTATATATATATAGATACTTTATATAGATCCTACATATATAGGTATTCTATATACAGAGCCTATATAGATAGATTATAAATATACAGACACTATATACAATACAATATATATAGATCCTATATATATAGATACTATTTATACGGAGCCTAAATAACTTAGTATATAAACTACTTTAAATTGATCTATTTAGTAACTCGGACTCGGTTACAGTCGATGTACATTGAATAAAAGTAGACAAGCGTGATTTGTTTTTAATTTATTTATAATACAAGAAAATGTTTCCTTATTCGCCTGCAATGTTAAATATTGCCAAATGCATGGGCAACATTTAAAGCGAGGCTATATTTACAAAAAAAAAATAATAATAATAATATATTTAAATATCAGAGCTGCTTAACTAGTATAGCTGATAATTTATTAACCTTAAGCTTTAACCAACATACGTACCGCATAATACGTGATTACTACATACATCTAGTTAATTATTAATCAAGATCGTTTACATTTTTCTGAGTTCTAACGCAAATGAATAGATGTAAACAAAAAATTATATTTATATATGCAAGTGTATAAGGAAAACGAATGGGGTTTTCTAATAATTCCACGTAGAAACTTATGTTACTCATGTGCCATGCAAATGCGAGAGTATCGATTCAATATCCTCGATCTGGACGCCGGCATCGTGCCCCTCCATTTGCTGCTCCTCGCTAGTGTTTCCCTTTAACGGTGTATTGCTGCGTTTGGAATTGGAAAGATAATAGAAAAAGTTTGATTAATGCTGTGATAAAACAGAGAAACCTTACGGCCAAAGCAAACGATGAGTCCTTTGGGACACACTTGCCGTCTCGCTTTATCCAATAATACGAAATTACAGTGAAATATTTCTCCTAGAGAAAAGCTATGAAAAACTGGGCATCATGGAATAACAAATAACAAAAAATTGACCTGCACTAAGCTGGTAGAGTAAGTCGGTTTCATCCTACTCTATTCTTAATTCATATATAATTTCGATTTGTGGGTGCAAACTATAAACTGCGTTTTTCTAGCAGCTAAAAATAACAGAGTAAATAATTTATAACGCAGCTATTATACTTGACATGAACCAAAACAGAGTGGGGTATTGTATACATATCCGGTATCGATTATCGATTAGATATATAGTTGGCTGTTGAGGTTATTCTTAAACTTACATGGAGGCCACTTCCGAATCGTTATCATCGCGCTCTTCACTCTGTGCGTTTCTGGCCAGTGGCGTTGATGCCGCCATGGGCTTTGCTTGGGCCACTGCCTGGTCCTGGCTGGTGCCGCTGGTGAAGCGTATGATCCGCTTTTTGGGTATGTTGCGTATGCTGGTGGCATTCGCATTGTCCTCTGTGCTGGGCAGCGCCTGGTGGAGCAGCTGTGGACTCGTAATGCGCACAGTGTGCATTTCGCTGTCCACCATGATGCGCATTTGAAAATTTTTAAAGTAGGCGGGTGGCTGGCGGGGCACAGGATGGGCCGGCTTGCTGCCGCTGTCGGCAAAAGCGAAACAGAATGTGTTGGCCACATGACTGGCGCTTCTGCACATGTCCAATTCGTACTCGCCGCTGGCAACTGGGGCCGGCGACTGTGACTGCGGCGGCAGCTGTTCCGGCGATAGCTGCGTTGTTTGCGCCTCGGCCAGCGTGGCCAATGTAGGAGCTGCAGTCTCTATGCGCGCCTCTGCACGCTTCTTGGCCGGCTTCTTGGTTACCTTGGCACTGGTCGATGCCTTGGCTGGTTTGGTTGCCTCGCTGCTGCCCGGCTGTGGCTCTTCAGGCGCGGGCGCTGCAGGTAAGAGAATATTTAGTCGCCTTTGCCAAATGTGAATCAGCTACTTACTCTTATTGTCAATGAGACGCGAGGAGCGTCGCATGCTGCAGCGCGACGGCTCCGTATTGGGCGGCTTCTTGGGTCGGCCACGTCGCTGGCCGGTGCTTGTGGAAGGTGCCGGCTTAGCCGCGATTTGAACTGTGGCACGTGCAGTCTTTGGCTGCTGTTGCTGCTGTTTCTTGGCGCTTAGATTCAGTGCAAATAGCAGCGCAGGATCCAGATTGCTGCTGGACGGCTCTTGCGGCTCCGAGATGGCTTTAACTGGTTCACTGGAGGCTGGCTTGGCCTTGACTGTTTTACCGGGTGCTGATTCCTTCTTAACTGACTCAGTTGTTGTCGCTGAAACTGTTGCTTTTTTCTCTGGCTTCTCTGTTTGTGATTCCTTTTTGGGCGATTTATTCGCATGGATTGGATTGGGATTCGTCAGCTTGGCTGTATCGCGCATGGCTGTCAGCTTCTTGCTCGGTTTCTTGGTGCGCCCCTTTGGCGCCGTCAGCTGTTTAACCTTCGCCTTGACGCGTTCACGCACCATGGCTAGATTCAACATACACTGCTCGATGGATTTAACTTGCTGGCTGACCTCGTTAGCGGTCTTGGGAGTCAGCGTGGTCTTCTTGACGGCTGGCACAACAGCTGGCGGAGCAGGCGGGGCCATTTCCCCACTGGTGTCCGCATCCGCAGCGGCAGCGCCAGTTGCAGCAGCATCTTTACTGGGCGTCAGCCAATTGCGTAACGGATAACGCACCTCACCATCCTGGCTAACTAGCTGCGCTGGCTCACTATCAATTGCCAGGGGTGGCACATTAAGTGAGCCAGCGGCAGCAGCTGCTTTTGCCCATTCCTCATCCTCGGTGCTGCTGATATCAGAGAGATTTTCCAATTCCAACAGCTTCATGGTGCTCACAGGCATCACTGCGTTGTTCACCTGAGTGGTGTGTGCTGATCCGGCGGATGTGTTGCTGCTGCTATGGCTGCAGCTGCCGCTGCTGGATGAGCTGGAGCTGCTTGAGGAGGTTGAGCTGCCACTGGAGCTGCTGCTGGAGTGATCCACGACCGCATCGGGCAGACCGCCCACCAGCTTATAGTGTGGCGTCTCTAACAACTGCAGCTCCGCATTGCCAGACAGGGCTACAGCGTCGGCGCTGTCCACTGCCTCGCTGCCGAAGGAGCGGACGCGACGCAACACCATGGGCTCGACGGGCACCCGCTCAGCGTATAACTCAATGCAGGTGGTGCTCTGTTTGACTATCTGCTCAACGTGATCCCTTGTCGGCGTTGGCTGTAGTGCGCACTGCGCATTTGTGTCGGTATGTTCGGCCTCATCTGGACGGTAATAGGAACTGCCAGAGGAGTAGTCCGTTTTGGCCCCGCTGCTGTGTGGCGTGCTCAGCGCATGGCCAAAGGGTGTGGTCAGGCGCATGCCTGGCGTAATTGCGGTCAACATGGGCGTGTCTAATATGCTCTTTGTATCGCTGCCAAACAGAAACGACGCTGATGGCAGCAATTTTGCGTAGGGCGTATTCAATGTCGGCATTAGTGCTGGCCCGGGTGTTGGCGGCACATCGTCCGCTTCCGACAACGTCACCTTGAACGGCGTCTCTAGAAGAGCTTCTATATTGCTCATGCGATCCGCTGGCTTATCTTTGGTTTCCGTCTTGACGGGCGCTGGCTCAGGCTGTTGCATCTGCTGCTGGACCAGCTCCCGCTGCTGCTGCTGCTGTTCTGGCTGCACATGCTCCTGCTCAGGCTTTATAATTTCCTTAGTTGCCTCGTCCTCGTCCTTGAGCTTCTCCGACTCCCTGGATACATTGTGTTTCTTGGACTCTTTCAGCTTCTGGCTGACAGCCTTTGGCTTTTTTGATGCTTTTTGCGGCGTTGTTATCTTTATAATAAAATCACCCTCGCCGCTGCTCATCTGCTGCTGCTTCAGCTTTTGTTTCTTCTTCTTCGTGCTGAGCGGCGGTGACCTCAGTTTCTTTTGTTTTGGCGCTAGAGGCGTCGCTGGCGCCAGTGTTTTCTTTTTCCTGGAAACAGGCCGATTGCGCCGCACTTTGTTCTGGAACACGTCCAAGCGCTTGGCATTGATTTCACGTAAACGCTGCTCCAAATCAGTGCTGGAGCTATTCATCTGACGCTGCCAGGCGGCCAGCAAATCCTCTTTCTCGCTGCTCACCTTGGGCTTTTCTGCGGGCACAACTGCCTCCTCTGTTAGCGACGTTTGATTCTCCTTGCTGTCATCCAATGAGACTGATGCACTCTTCTCCGCTTCCTGTTGCTTGTTGCCGCTTTCAGCGTTACCCTTGTCCTGTGCTTGCGCATCCGGAATGATGCGTTTGGAGGCTGCTTTGGCCGCTGTTCGACGCTTTTGCTTGCGCTTGGGCGTCGCCACCATAGACGGCGCCACAGCTGCCACTGGGGTAGCCGACTTGGCCGTCTGTTTTGATTGCTTAGATCCAGCGACTGCCTTGATCACCGTCTGATTGCTGCTCTCCTCCATGGCAAAGAGTGGCGGCACGCAGCCGTTACTCTCATTGCCGCTGACATCGGCAGATGCGGCTAATGCAGCCGCTGCTGCTGATGTTGTTACTGCAGCAGCTAAAGATGAAGCCGTGACTGCAGCTGCTGGAACGCAGGAACTGCTGCCGAAATTTGGCAGAATCTCGATATTCTTTATAATCACTGGCTTCTCCGGCTGTAAGTCTGTTTGTTGCTCCGGCTCTTTGGACTGTTTTTCTTTGAGTGTCCTTAGCTCCGCCCGCCGTTGCGTCTGCTGTGAATGCGTCTGCTGCTTTTGTTGGAGACGGCGGGTGGATAGAGGCGTGCTCTGGCTATGTGTTACCCCCTTGGGCGAGAAATTGAGCGTGCGCACGTGTGAGGTGCGCTTGCGGGGCGTGGATAGACTACGAAAGGCCTTCACATTCACAATGCCCGACGTGGAGGGGGTAACGCGCTCCAGCACCAGACGCGATGAGTCCAGCGAAGCAGGCACAGCACTGGCGTTCAACACTTTGCTGGCAGAGCGTTCGACCAGCACCGTACTCGCAGTCGCTGGCTTTGGCTGCTCCGCAATAAGCTGAGCCGGTGGCTCCACCGAAGGCGACTCCACTGGCGTCGGCGGCTGCTTCACGGCGCTGTTTATGATTATCGAATTGGGCGGCAGCTGATTGGCGGTAACTGTAATTGGCTCCGGCAGCGGTATTTCAATGTGCGAGACATCCGTGTTGGCAAACGCATCAGAGCGCAGCTGCTGCGCCAGCCACTCGTTGTTCACCAGAAACGGCAAGTGCGAGATCAGACCCTCATTGGATAGAAACATGGGAAATGTTAGCTGGCCATTAATGGCATCCACGCACACCTGATTGCCGGCAACGGCTGCGACACCGGCAACTGCATCAGCATCCGATAGAGCTGAACCGCCGTCGGCGTAATTAATGAGATTCTCACTGCCAAAGCTCAGATTAGACGATGGCTGCTGCTGCTTCTGCGCGCTCTCGTTCGAGTTAAGCACTATGAGCTTAGATATACTGAAATTGGGATCAATTAGAGTGCCAATTGAATTGTTCGCATTGAGCTGTATGATGGCATTGCCATTGTTGCCATTCACCACATTAACTTCTCCGTTGGCGTTAACAGCCGCCGCCGAATTCGCGGCGGAGACCGCTGCGCGAATTATAAGCGGCGTCTGTGGTGGTGCTGGCTCCGTTTCTGCTGCTACTGGCGCTTCAAGTGTTGCTGACATGGGCTCCTCCGATTGCGCCTCCATGCTAACCACCTCCTGAATAATGCGATCAAACGATGGATCTTTCTCGGTTGCCTCCAGTATATTCCTGACCAGACCGTCTAGCACCGCCTCCGAGTTCACCGACTCTGCCGTAGGGGCATGCACCGTCAGCGACTGCAGCGCCACATTGATATTGGTCAGCAGCTTGGCCTGAAATTCGCCATTGGTCATGATGGCGTTCGTTAATGCCTGTAAATAAACAGATACTTGCGTGATTACCAGCACAACTGATTATCAATACAAAACATTTCGAATAGAAATCATACCATTGTGCAATTTACTACACAAAGATCTAGTCTCATGCTAGTTCTTATACATTTGTAATGTTCAGCCAATTAGTTCAATTAGGCACGATCGAATAACTGTATCGTATGGCTAACGTAGACCGATTGGTCAACAATAACTTTCATACAAAAATCGCATGCTTACCGGCATAGTCTGCGGCATTGGCATCACTCGTTCTGTCCCGTCACTGGTGCTCGTACGAGGGGTAGAATTGTTTTTGGGGCCATGTTCATCAAAATGCAGCGCATCGTCCGTATGGTCGCTAGTGAAATCGGTGCCAGTGCTGCTGTCCAGCGAATCTTTTTCCTCTGTATGATCGCTGACGTTACGAGAGCTCCGTCCGACACTGCAGTACAAGTGCGGATCCAGCAGACGCCGACGCTTGCGGGCAGCATGTTTCGTTGGCGATGGTGAAACCGAGTTCGCGTGTTCCTCATCCCTGGCGAAACAATCATTAAATAAATTGTTGGAAAAACGTGCCCGGGGCAATGGTATATAACTTACATGCGTCGTCTCTTGCGCTGCTTGTTTGAGCTCGCATTTTGCATACTGGCGCTGTCTTTGCTGCTGGTGAATGTTGACTTTTCCACCCTTAGCAGCTCACCTACACGCTCGGACAGCTTGAGCTGCTGCAGGCGCTGGCGCGCGTCGTTTGGCAATTTCTGCACCGCCGTGGCCACTGAAAATGGAAATTAGTTTAGTGGCGTCTGGATCACTGTGGCTAGGGCTGCTTACCCATGGTCGTGATTTTGACGTGTTCGCGTATGATCTCTTCCAGGCCCTCATTGAGAAAGTTGTGCGGCTGCAGGCCCTGCCGTAAAGCAACAAACTCCTGGTGTAGATGCGGCGATGTGCGGCACAGTGTTAACGCCGCCCGTTTTAGATTGTTATTTATGAAATATCCTGCAAATGCAGACATTGAAAGGCATTAAAGGCACCGAACGACATGGGACTACCAGACTCACCCAAAATTAGACGCGCGATGTCAGAATGCAGCACAATTGATTCCATTTTTCTTGATTAATGAATACCTTATTTAGTTGTTTGTCCAATTAAAGTTGCTGCTACGATTATCGCACATGTTAACAAAACAAACAAAAAAAAAAAAGAAAACAAAAAACAAAATGCTTGTTTGCGTTGCTTTGCTTTTTGCTGCCGCTTCTTGTTGTCTGTTGCTAGTTTTTCGTCTTCGCCGATCCCAATTTCGATGCCGATAATGTTGATGTACTTTGCTGGGTACTGCTTCGTCGCCTTGTGTCCACTCTTTCACGCTCTACTAAATTGCATTGTTGTTTGCATATTAACTAAGCTTGATCGGGTATTTATATATAACGCGGTATATTTTTATTTTTATTTGGCAATTATCGTCGCGCACTGTACAACATACCTAAACAATAGCATCTGTTTACCGCCAAAATGTTAAGCTGCAGAGCTGCAACATATTATATCGATTATTAATTTACAACTATCGATACGGGAGCCAGCATTTATATAGTTTTATGGATCGAACATAACATAGCCATGATATTATTTTGCTTAAATACATAAAAAACTACATTATCATAAGTCAGATTATGCAAAAAACTTAAAAGTTACCTACATCTTGATTTATTATGAAGAATTACCAAATTCTATGGCAAGTTACGTTAAACGATATAGGGGCTTACTATCAATCAGCCTATCGATGTATGCACCGCCTACGAATTGAATAATTAATCGATCTGGCAACGCTCTTATTATGTTTAACTCTACTTAAAGGGAATTTAATTAGAACAAATGGCTGCTAAAGCAGTTGTCTCCGAAAAAAATGATGGACAAGAGTCCGACAAACCTAAATCTACTGATGCGGAATTTAATCAGCCAGAAACGGCTGCCGCCATCATAGAAGTCGGAACGGCTCCGCCGCCGGCAAAAAGTGATAGAGGTGGAGGACGTAAGCGTAAGCGCCACCTTTTTAATGCAATTCGAACTCAAATGGAGTTTTACTTTGGTGACGCGAATCTCAGCAAGGATCGCTTTCTGCGTCGCTATGTGGAGCAGGATCCATGTAAGAGAATATTTATACAAACATCTTTTTTAACTAGTATATCTACTGTTGTTACTGTTTTTAGACGTCCCGCTAGACATATTTCTAACATTCAACAAAATCAAGACGCTCACACAAGATGTGCAGCAAATATCCACGTCGCTGTCTAATTCGCAGATGCTTGAATTGGACGAGACTGGTCTAAAAGTGCGTCGCAAGACTGCACTGCCAGAGCATAGGGACGTCAACGATAAGACCCTATACGTGGAGGCGCTGCCGTCGACTGCAACACACGACTGGCTCAAAGAGGTCTTCAGTCGGTATGGCCCGGTCACGTACGTGTCGCTGCCACATTACCCGGGCACGCGAAAGATTAAGGAATTTGCGTTCATCGAATTTGAGAAGAGCAGTTCCGTGGAGAAGGCACTTAAAGCATTTGCTCAGGTCCAGGGTGTTCTATCGGTGGAGCACACAGAACCTGGCGACTTGGCCAGCATACGATCGTTTCAGCAGCAACAACAGCTTAAGGCAAACAGTGGCGTGGACGGGCAAGATGGTACAACAGAAACAAACGCTGGAGCCAAACAGACAAAAAAGCGCGAAGGCGATAAAGAGGGTGTCCAGGAGGCCGTGATAACCAAGCGGGCTAAACTTGAACCGCCGCAGGAGCAAAGTGAAACATCTGCCGCCGAGAGTACCGACGCAGATGAAGACAACACGCAGCCAAGTGACAGTGAAAATAACAATGAGGATAAGGAGGTTTCCAGAAAGCAAAAGCGTCGCCGAAAGCAAAAGAAGAAAATCGTCGCAGACAAGCTCAAGCCGAACATTGAACCCAGCGCCTTGGAGCTAAAGATACTACCCAAGAGCAGCTGGTGCAGCCTGCGCAACAAGTACCTTAATCTGCAGCGTCGCCTAATCAGCGAGGCCAAGAGCAAGCTCTGGCGCAACTCTCAGGCTCAGCATCCTTCGCACAAGTGCACATCCATGCAGCTGCAGTTGCAGGCGCAGCAACAGCAACTGGTCGAGTCAAAGGGCAGCTGTAACAGCGGCGCTAGCAGCGGTCATGAGGAAACTGAACCCCTCAGCGATGCCGGGGACGTGGCGGAAGTGCCAGTGCCACCCAAGCGTCGGAAACGCAACAAAAACGCTGGCGTACACAAAATGAATATGAATTTCTACGGCGCTGGCGGCAACGAGGCGGACGATACCAAACCGGCATTGAAGGCGGAAGATGCGGCACAGGAGCGCTCGCCGCTCTTCAAATACGAGCCCGGTTTGATTGTAGAGTGCGCGCTCCACGAGCCCTGCGTTAACGTGAAAGACTTTAAGGCAGACATGCGGCAGTACACGGACATTAAGTACGTAGACATCAAAGAGGGCGATCAGGTGGCGCATCTGCGCATGGCCACGCCTAGTGCCGCCGAGGAGCTGGCACGTCAACTCAGCTGCGCCGAAATGCAGTTCAAAGTACTGCGCGGCCAGCCAGAGACTCAATACTGGCGTAAAATCGAACAGGATCGCGAGGCCAAACTCTCCAAAAAGGTACGTGTGCAACAGAAACGCGGGCGCGAAAAAGTTGCCAAGCTTTTGGCCAAGCACATTAAGTTTGACGATGCAGATGATGAGGTGATCAATGACCCGGCCTCCAGCATCAGCATCCCATCCGATATCTAATGTACAAAGAACTGAAAAAACCTATGTATGTTTGTATGCATATAAATTAAAAGAAATATATGTACATTATAAAATTAAAGCAAATGCAGCAGCTGAATGCTTGTCGATTCAAAGTTTTCCCAATTATGTACAAGACAGATGCTTAAAACATCCAATTTTCCAAGGGCCATACGACATAGAAATTATTTTCTGAGCGCGTTTTTCGATGTCGCAATAGTCTGATCCAACTCCATTACTTAACTCCACGCCGGGACACGGGTGATGGTTGAAATGTGTCACTGTGCAAGGACACGGAATCTATATTTGCATAAAGTTGGACAGGAATGCAGTTGCGACATTTTCGCTATCCCGCAGAACTCGCTGAGGGGCTAAGCAAATGTCCGGTAACGGCTCAGACTAAAGCTGGGACTATCTAGCCAAATCTACGGCAAAGTCCCTGTGGTCTGCGATGTACGTTGTAGGTTATACGTATATATATTTATTAACATTTAGTCATAGACAGTCTCCTCTTATATATAACATGCTGTTGAACAATGCTTGGTACCTATCATAATTGGCTATTTAAAATGTTGAGCACATTTAATCTTACCTAGATGCGTTGTTCAAATATATATGCATATGTAATCATAGCTTAACTAGACCGTATTTCGTAAATTAGCCTAAAATATTTATCTAAATAACAACTCAAAGTATGTTTAAAGCTAAAAATTATTTTATATAAAGTTTACATTTACTTTTTATCTTATTTAGCTAGGTTTTTCGTCAGTTGTCTTCTTCTCTGTATTATGACTATACAATATTTTCTTTATGCATCGCAAAAATGACAAAGTTGTACTTATATGATACGCATCTTAGGTAATCAAATGCAGCACCCCTTCCGACTGTCCACTGCACATTAACGCCGAAAAAAAAAAACGGGCTCTGTAGCCGGCTTAAATGTAGAGCGAACCATCAGCGGGGCCCAAATAATGCATGGATATGAGCAGAACATCTATAATTGTCCAGACGCCGAGGCCACCAAAACTGAACAGTTTGCCAATGCCCTCCTGCCAGTGGCCCAAATAGAAGCGGTCGGCACCAAAGCCACCCAGTGTTAGGCTGATAATCAACGCGGTGCTCCAGCGATAGCCCTGCGTCCAGTTGCAGCGTAAATTGCGAGTAAACGAACGACTGCCCAGGCAGAGTACATCCTGGTGCACAGTGCAGTTGGTGCGATAGTATTTATCCGCTGCAGAGTTGCAATTGGCGTGCTGCTCGCAGCTCTGCTGCCACATCTCCGTTTGGTAGCAATAGCGACAGTTCATTGTACGCTGGAACGAACGCTCGCCCTGGCACTGCACATTGCTGGCCGCCTCGCAGGTGATGTTAATATCACGGCCGTACAGGCAGTTGAAATTATAGCTGCAGCGTATGCATGGGAATTGCAGCCGTTCGCACGGCATCTCCTTGTCCAGCGGGCACAGCATATTTGTGGTGCTATTGCCGTTGGTGTTGTCACCCGCTGCTGATGATTTGCTACCCATATTGCCCAGTGCAGGGACAAATACCTCATTGTCGTTGTTATTATTGATGCCCGCATTGCTGTTGTCCTTGCGCTGATCACTCTTAACATCCGTTAGATCCATTTGGTTGCCTCCGCTGGCGGTTTCGCTATTTTTGATGCCGGTCAGCACAAATATGATGATCAGTGCTATTGCCGAACGCATATTGACAACGATGCATTCTCGCTGTTGTCTCATTGTTGCGAAATGGATACTACAATGGAATATCTCCAGGGCGAAGTTTCTCGGCGGATGCAGTTGTTTTGGTTGTGATAGCGATAGCAGCCACCCATCGATAGGCTGCATAATCGTTGGCACTTGAAAATGCATCGATATATTGAGTGCCGATATACGACAATTGTAGCATATTCGTTTATTTTGAAATACAATTTTATTTTATTTTTCTGGATCAGTATGGTGTGAAAATATCGACCGTTTTTCAAAGGAAAACATACATTATTTGTCACGTTACCGCACTACAATCGTTATTCAAAACTAAATATATCGATATATCGATACAACATAAACAGCCGAAATTTCTTTAAAAAAACGGGTAATTGTCCCATGTTTCGGTTATATATTTACAATTACTTTCAAAATGTCTTACCACGGCAGTAAAGACAAGCACACTTTTCACGTAGACGTGCGCCTGCATAGGTTCGGTGGAACCTTCTCTGGCGCTTTTCCAGAGTTCAGCCGTCCTGAGCCAATTGGCTTCTACAGCGTCAATGAGGCACGGGAGTTCCAGGACAACGCCAATAATTCGTGCTTCTTGCGCCTGCCGCACCCCAGCGATATGCCGCTGGATCTCAATGCTGGCATTGAGAATGTTCAACGCAAGGGCGTTGACCCTGATTACCATGATATTTACCAGATCTGCCAGTACATCTATAACCATCAGGAGCTCTTGCGTACCTCGTCTACTGGGCGTCTTGAGCTGCCTGCGGATTTCGTTACGTTACGCGGCATTCTGCGCCAGATAATGAGCACGCCATACGAAAGAAATCGCGACTATCGGCTTGTGGCAACGCGCTTCAACGGCACGATATACATATCCAAAGTCGAGACCAAGGAGCAGCGCATCGAACGCGAACAAATGACACGAAATCAACTGGACTTGTGCTCGTGGGGCTTCAAGTTCGAGCAGTACTGCACAACACAGATACCAGAC